GTTTGCCTCTGCTTCCATCAGTCACAGGTTGAAGGCTCCCGGATGGTTATAGACATCAAGTTCATTATCAGGAATGGGCATTCGAGGTGGTCTCTCCACTATTGCTTAGCTTGCCAATTGGTGTTATCCCTTTAGATCACTCGAGGTCGCTCTGGTGCCTGATCTGTATTCGATCCTATGATTCCCTCTTCCCCCTATTCTACCCCCACCCCTCAACTTCCTGTTCCCCCATGACCAACTCTCTTCCTCTTCACCCCCTCTCTTCTTCCCAGGTCCCACTCCCCTCCACCCCTCGCCGTGTTCCCCATCCATTCAGGGGATCTTGTCTCCATCCTCTTCTCTTGGGTACTATGCATATATGCATATCTTTTAGGTCCTTTCCTGTTTCCCAGACTCTCTATCAGTGGAAGTGCAGACTGGCACTATCCTGATCCATGTCTAAAATCCATATATGAGTGAGTACATACCATGTTTGTCTTTTTGCGACTCGGTTACCTCACTCAGGATGGTTTCTTCCAGTGCTATCCATTTCCCTGCGAATTTCAAGATTCCATTGTTTTTTTCTGCTGAGTAATACTCCATTGTGTAAATGTACCACATTTTCTCTATCCACTCTTCAGTTGAGGGGCATCTAGGTTGCTTCCAGGTTCTGGCTATTACAAATAATGCTGCTATGAACATAATGGAGCAGATGCCCTTGTTGTATGAACTTGCCTCATTTGGATATATGCCTAAGAGTGGAATTGCTGGGTCTAGTGGTATATTAATTCCCATTTTCCTGAGGAATCTCCATACTGGTTTCCAAAGAGGCTGTATGAGTCGGCACTCCCACCAGCAGTGGAGGAGTGTTCCTCTCTCTCCACATCCTCTCCAGCATAAATTGTCTTCGGTGTTTTTGATTTTATCCATTCTGAGGGGAGTAAGATGGTATCTCAGAGTTGTTTTGATTTGCATTTCCCTGATGGCTAAGGATGTTGAGCACTTTCTTAAGTGTCTCTTGGCCATTTTACCCTCCTCTACTGAGAATTTTCTATTTAGCTCTGTATCCCACTTTTTAATTGGATCCTTTGGTGTTTTGGAGACTTGTTTCTTGAGTTCTTTGTAAATTTTGGAGATTAGCCCTCTGTCAGATGTAGGGTTAGTGAATATCTTTTCCTATTCTGTGGCCTGCCTTTTTGTCTTTTTGACTGTGTCCTTTGCCTTACAGAAGCTTTTTAGTTTCAGAAGGTCCCATTTGTTAATTGTCGATCTCAGTGCCTGTGCCACTGGTGTTATGTTTAGGAAGTGGTCTCCTGTACCAACTCATTGAAGAGTATCTCCCACTTTCTCTTCTAAAAGTTTCAGTGTGGCTGGATTTATGTTGAGATCTTTGATCCCCCAGACTTCATCCTTATGATCAATCATCACTGTTAGTTACAGGTACAACCTCTTCTTTAGCTCTTATATAGAGCCAACTGGAAGATCATGAAAACCCACAGTCAACACCAAGGAATATTGAAGCCAATCAGTGGACATGTATTATGGGAAAACTCCATTTAACTGAAGCATTTAGGCCTTTAAGGGCATGGAGACATCTGGCATGCAAAGGAGAGTATCTGAAGGGGCTCACCCTTTCCTAACCAACACCATCCTGCAATTTTATCATAGAAAGCAGCATTTTTTGGGGGAAATCCAGGGTATAGGAGGCTATGAGAGGTGCAGCAGGTGCCAACTGTTCAGATGCCAACCCACCAGAGGAATAATTGTCTGATGGGGGACAATCCTGTCTCAGAAAGGTCTGTGGGACTTTGCTTCTGGAAACTGTTGGTCCTGACTATAATTTCATTTGGGCAAAAGCATCTGTGGTGTCTCCCCAATACCTGTATTGTAGTGTGTAACTTCATGTGATGTGTATATGTAATTTCATGATTGCATCTCAATCTTATGGGCACATATATTCATGGATGATCTGGAAGATGATTTCTCATTAACTGTATACTTTTGATATATAGGAAATATATTAGGATATGCTTCATAACTAGATCTATTATCCCACAAAGCCAACTTTGTTCCTTTTACTCAAACAACACACAATTAGCTGATTTTTTTTAACCTCAGATCAAGCTCAAAGAAGACTAAAGGCTTCTGTAAATGGATCACGTTACAGATATATACAAGGTCAGTCTTACTAATGTCTGACCAAGATTATTAATGCAAACCAACTTCATGCCAATTCTTTGCTTGCCATGTGTGGCTGGTAAAGACCTGTGTTTCAGAGATTGTCTCACCAAGGACTGTGTCCCCAGCCTCTGGTTACAGTCTTACATCTGGAATCTTGAAATCTTGTATTGTCATGGTAAATGGCTCTGCTCCTTATTGTTTACCCAAGGAATGTCCTATGAACAATGAGTTGTAACTGCTGCAGCATTTTTCTCATCGCCTCAACCCTCCTGTAAGAAATGTATTTAAGCTAGTTGAACAAAGAGGCAAGGGGGAATTGGAAAGGAGAATTGAAACAAAGGAGAACTAGAAAGAATTAGAACTTAGCAGAATATTAGAGGACAGAAAAAGACAGAAAAATAATGAACATGATCCAAAGAGCATGTCTGTGAGTTTATTACATACCTCTCAGAGAGAAAACAATTTAACCAGTTTCACTATACTGTGGAGTTTTTCTTTAAACCATGGGAGGAACCTTTGGCAGCTGGTCTTTCAGGCAACTAATACCAGGCCAATATCTCTGTATTTTCTTCTCCATTGTAAGCCATTATGCTTCTTTTTAAGAAAGATTTATTTATTTATTTGTTTATTTATTTACTATGTATACAGCATTCTGCCTCCATGTATTCCTGTATGCCAGAAGAAGGCACAAAATCTCATTATAGATGGTTATGAGCTACCATGTGGTTGCTGGGAATTGAATTCAGGATCTCTGGAAGAGCAGCCAGAGTACCATCATCATGTTTCTTAATTCTTTATGCTTGTGGTGGCCAGTAAAATGAGCTCTGGTTCTTTTTCCAGATCTGGGTGATCTACTTAAAAGTTACTGACTGAATGAGGAGTCCTAATTCCTGCGTGGGGTGGGGGTACTCCAGGATTCTTCACTCTGAAACCCCAAGTAATTTTCATTGATCATGTTCCCTTTACAGGCCTCTCAACACTCTTCATCTCTATCTCTCTCTGTCTCCCTCTCTTAAAAAATGGAGTTAACTCTATTAACATGGTTTTGTTCCTGGACTGCAGAATGTTTGACCTCTGCTTTGAAAGCACTTTCTGTTCTGTTTTGTTCTCTTTCACAACCAAAGTGGCCTCTGATTCAAATGTGCCTTTCAGTTCAGTTCATTTCAGTTTAGTTCAGTTCAGTTCATTTCAGTTTAGTTCAGTTCAGTTCATTTCAGTTTAATTCAGTTAATTTCAGTCATACTTAGTTATTTAATGTATTGTGGTGTCTGACTTATTTTAGAGTTCTTTTAGAATGAATAACCTGAGCTCTACTTTAGTCAATAAGTCCACAGGGATGTTCTGGAAAATTGTCATGATATTTACAATGCCATGACTAAGAAGAAATTGGCACATTCTTGTAACAGATCCAGGCTTCTTTATTCTTTGGTCTCCAAAAGAAATGATCAGTTACTGTGACCTACATTACAATGTCATTCTATATATATTAAGCCTACATAACAAACTCTGACTTCTGACCTTTCAACCTTTACTTAAGGAAGGTTTGTCTAAGCATTTTAGTGTTCGACCTTGCTTGTGCCTAAGGTGCTATTTGAATTATTGCAATTTTTTTATGTTCCCCTTTGTCTCTAATGGGATTAGTTGAGACTTCATTTGCTTCTAGAATTTCAGAAAAAAGAAAGAAAAACAATGGACAGCAAGGTATTATATAGTCTCTTTCTACACCATTTGGATGTTTGAAAATGGCCCTTAAAGGGTCTTTCTTTGCCCCAACACCTTGACATCTGTCATTGCTCAACCTGGTATCACAGATCACAAAGCAACTGGTGAACAACAGGAAGTGGAGACAAAACACATGGTGAATCAGCAGTTTCTACAGATAAAATTGTTTCAAGACAAGAGAAGGACATGTGACAATCAAAACAAACTCAAGTTAGGCATGGTAGAGCACGCTTGTGATTCCAAACAATGACAGATGATAGACGCTAAAAGACAGATAGAGGGGCTGGAGAGATGACTTAGTGGTTTAGGGTACTGGCTGCTCGTCTAGTGGATCTGTATTGAGTTCTAGCACTCACATTGTTGTTCATACCCACAACTTCAATCTTTTTTTAAATTTTTTATTTTTTTGGTTTTTCGAGACAGGGTTTCTCTGTGGCTTTGGAGGCTGTCCTGGAACTCACTTGGTAGTCCAGGCTGGCCTCGAACTCACAGAGATCCGCCTGCCTCTGCCTCCCAAGTGCTGGTATTAAAGGCGTGTACCACCAACGCCCGGCCACAACTTCAATCTTAAGACCCTTCTTTCTGATGTCTGTGGGCACTACACACACCCAGACAAAACACATAAAAATCAGCCATAAAATTTTATAAAATAAGGGAACTTCAGGAGTAGGTCAATTTAATGCAGAAAAGCAAGAATTGGAAGGACAGTCATGTTTGCATCTACTGCCTTTGAAGCTCCTTGGGCGCATCTCTAAGATGGAAACTCCATGTGAGCTTGCAATCAGGTGCTCAAAGGTTTGTGTCTTCCCTGTAGCACCAACCTTCTGGACATCTCCAGGGCTTGGCAGGTAATTGTCCAGGATGGACACCCCATGATGCTGTATGGATAGACAGGGTGAAAGGGTGGGGGAGGTCCAGTGAGGAGGCTCTGAGAAGGGATAATGTAAGCCTTCAACCAGACTTACGTGGGCGGGAACAGGAAAGGAAGCTTCCAGGCCTATTGGCTGCGATGTTCTGGTCCTCTGTGTGATGTGGATAAGGCAGTCGTAAATGAGATTGGGGTAGACATGTCTCTGTTAAAAAAGGCTAGAGAGTCTGGAGCCAACACAAGTATAGAACTGGGGGAAATGAGATCCAACTGCCTGGGAGGTTACTTCCCTTTCCTGCAGCACTGAAGAAATGGCCATCATGTGATGGGGAGTATTTGGCCTCCCAAGGCTACACCTTGTTTTGCTTGTCCATATGCCAGACACTCTGGCCCTGAGGATAAGCACTGTTGTAGCCTCTGGAAGGAGATGCCATGACTATCGCCTCCTTAGCCCTGCTCTATCTTGGTAAGATAAATTGTGGGAAGGATTACTGTGGTGTGTTGGTGGTGGGGAACATGCCTTATAGCTATACCCTGGGCCATTAGGCAACCCAAGTCATGCAGGAGCCTCTGTGGGAGGGGAGGTCTGCTCTGATTTCAGGGGCAAAACTGACACAGCATTCACTTCTAGGGCTGAGCCTGGTTCCCATGACTCATGTACCAGCAGGTGAGTGTGACTCAGGATCTTTCTTCTCCTGTAGACCAGGACCCAATGCTGGACAGGGTGGGAGAAGGAACAACAGGTGTGAAATACTTCTGTGTCATCCTCAGAGGTTCTTGGGGGCTGAGAGCTGAGACAAGAGCACCAAATGCCTTGCAATCTAGATGCTGATTTCCTTGCAGAAATTATTGTCAAGCCCACACTCAGAGCTCACCCAGGCTCTGTGATGACCAGGGGCATGCAGTTGACCATCGCATGTGAGGGGACCTCAATTGCCCAGGAATACTATCTCTATAAAGAGGGAAGTCCGGATCCCTGGCAAAGTCAGAGTCCCATGGAGCCTGGGAACAAGACCGAGTTCTTCTTTCCATCCGTCCATCAGAGCCATGCAGGCAGATATCGTTGTTACTATAAGAGCCATGTTGGCTGGTCAGAGCGCAGTGACTTTCTGGACTTGATGGTGACAGGTAGGTGGCAACATAGTGTCTCCATTCCAAGGTTCTGTTCTCAGGGGGGTATCCTCCCTCGAATATACTTTGCACATCCCAACTCTGGAGGGCAAATCCATAGCTGCTCTCTCGTTTAATGGGATGCCATCTTCTTTTCTAGGATTCTATGGAAAACCCAGTCTGTCAGCCCTTCCCAGCCCAGTGGTGAGGTCAGGAGGGAATGTGACCCTCCAGTGTGCCTCACAGATTGGATATGATGCATTTTCTCTGACTAAAGAAGAAGCAAAGAAGTTCTCTTGGACTCTAGACTCACAGTACATATACTCTAATAGCAGTTTCCGTGCACTGTTCTTTGTGGGTCCTGTGAGCTCCAGACAGAGGAGGACATTCAGATGCTATGGCTACTACTTGAGTAAATCCCAGGTGTGGTCAGAACCCAGTGACCCTTTAGAGCTCCTGGTCTCAGGTGAGGAAGCCCAGCTTGTGTATTGAAAGACACGACTTCTGATAAAGGTACCTAGGGTACCTAGGGGCCCAGGGCTCTCAAACCTATTGACACAGAGCATGAAGACGATAGGACCCATGGCACAGAAACTGAAAGAGGGCAGTGAGAGTGAAACGTGGAATGTCTAGAAGACATATGGGTCTTCATGCAACTCCAGTGTTCCTTTTGCTATTCAGGGATCAGCTCAATGATCTTGCATGTTATGTGCATTATATGTGATTTTATATACTTGTAAATTGAGATCCTAACAGGAGAGAAAACATGGTATTTATCTTTATGTTTTTCATTTATTTGGTTTCATATATTGATCTACATTTACACCCATCTTTTTGCAATCTTCTTGCACAAATAATTTTTTTCTGTAAAACAAATATATCTAAAATTGTGTGGTAGCATATAAACTAACGCATATACATGTATAATTCTATTTAGCTATGTTCACATGCATTTATAATTACATAAATGCATCTATAAAACTGCATGATTATACATATGTACATAACATATAAATTTAATTTGTTTTATGATTTCATATATGAGTATTGTATCTATACTAGCCTTTCTCATCCTCCTCTCACTCTTTCTACATTTTTTCAAGCACTATTAAATTTGCTCTCTGAATTTTAGTTATTATTGTCACACACACATACATACAGACTCATACACAAACACATATATGTATATTCTATAGCCTAGCTTGAGTTTTTTTTTGATTCTTCCATTTTCTTCCCTTGTCTCAAAACCATTTCATCTGAAGCCATCACAGATTCACCATATCATTTGTCTCCATTTCCTGTTGTCCACTAGTTGCTATCTGATCTTGTTATCTTGATCTGATCCTAGGATGTACAAGGGAGTCCAGGTGGTCATTATGTTGGTCTTCTTTGGGTAGCCATACTTTTGAACTTTCACGGGTATAGCTTCCCTGTCTTGTCTAGAAGTCTCTATTTTGTAGCAGATATCTTGTTCTTCTGGCTCTTCCATATATTTTCTGCCTGACTTCCTCAGTGTTCCCTATATTTTACATTTATGGTTTGTGTTACAGAAGTATCAATTTGAACTGGGCACCCAAACCCACTTATTTCTGTTTTGGTCAGCTGTAGATTTCTATAATCATGCTCATCTGTGGAAAAAGATGCTTCCTTGATGAGGGGACAGAGCTATACTTACCTGTGGGTATAAGAAAAGCACTTAGAATGAGGTTGGAAATCGCACTGGTTTAAGAACATGGCAGTATTGGTTTCTAATCTAGAGTCCTTAGCCTCTCCAGACATGGGTACAAGTAACATACTTTTACATGCTTATCATTGGGCTATTCTTTGATGATTTAGGTTACCTACTTACTAGAACATGTCTACATTTTTGGATATTGTGAGCATATCTCTTTAAAATTTTATTTATTTTTATTTTATTTACATTGGTATTCTCCCATGGGTGTCAGGTCCCCTGGAACTGGAGACACAGACAGCTGTGAGCTGCCATGTGGGTGCTGGGAATCAAACCTGGGTCCTCTGAAAGAGCAGTTAGTGCTCTCAATCACTGAGCCATCCCTCCAGGCCCGTGAGTGTATCTTTATGTCTTTTTTTTGTATTGTTTGCGTTGCTAACAATGTGATGATTAGAGGTGAGATGTTAAAAAGAAGCATCACAGGAACTGGGTGGGGTTAGTGTAGGGAAAGAACTCCAGTCTATAATTATTTTGTGCAACTGATATTCATGGGTCCCCAAGAAAAAGACTTTGTGGCTGGATCTTGAGTTCTTAGCCAGTGAATCAGTGCAAACCTATTTCCAGGGGAATAAACTTCTAGATTTCCAGACTGAGATGGGATCAGAGGAAGGTGCCTTTATTCTGAACTAGAAAACCATATTTATCCATATGAGCTCTCCGGAATACAATATATTACGTTCCAGAGAAGAGCTTTGGCCACAGGCTCTGAACTCAGAGCACAGTAAGATCAAAGAAATAAAGCAAAGGCCCAGGAGGAAACCTACTATAGCAGAAAAAAGGTTCATTCCAGGTCTTCATAATGTAATGATAATAATATGCATTTCTAGGATGTAAGAATATGAAATTGAACAAAAAGAATCCATTCTCTTGAGCATTTCACAAATCCATCATGTCTTTGTTTCACAGGAGTGCCTGAGACCACCACCCAACCACAAAATATGTCAGAATTCATGACAGGTGAGTATGGAAAATTCTGGTTTGGTCACAGAGACAGAAGGTCAAATTCTATGTAGAGGAGGGAGCTACTCAGAGTTGAAAACCAGTGATTGTATGGTGACTTTGGTTGGTCCTGACCTGTTTGTCCACAATTTCCAGCCTCACAGCCCCAGAATAACACAGTGGAGAACCTCATCAGGATTGGCATATCAGGTTTGACCCTCATAGTTCTTGGGATTTTGCTGTTTGAGGCTTGCCACGGCTGGGGAAGGACTCTGAATGCAGCCTAGAAGTGAAGAGAAGAGACAGCCACATGCCCTGCATTGTCACCACGTTTGAGAAATAAATCTGAGGATCTTTGGTGTGTTTTTACAAGAAAACTCAATGTTTAGTATTTTGAAACATTTGTGAGAAAATACCCAGGAGTCAAATGTGGTTTGTGTGTAAGAAAAGACCTAAATGTTCGTGTGGAGACTTCTTCCATCACCCTGTTAAGGATCTTCCCCTCTACCTTGCTGTGGACCCTTTAAGATTCTTCCTTCCTCTCTTTTTAGTCCATGATATCAGGAAACATGCTGTTCCATCAGTGAGGTTTGGGTCCTTATCTCTGTATCTTCTGATTTCCCAAGTCTCTTATCATACTTTCCTGTATTATAAATTGCCACATTCCCTATTTTGTAATATGAGCATCTGCTTTTTTTGTGGATTTTGTTGTTACTATGAACACAGGATTTAACTCAGTAACAACAACAGCAACAATTAATGAGCAGAATTCAAGTTTCACAATGCAAAAATAACTGAATATAAATGATGCCTCAAATTCTGTACTCTTAAACCCTTAGGAATTCACCATATACTTATTGTGAGATTTCTACTAATTTATAAAATCTTGCTGCCCAATGATTAAGGGAACTATCTCGGATGCTGTTGATACAATTTTGAAAATATGATTTTGTTAAATAACTCCTGGTTTGTGCCATTTGCTGATTGGTGTGTATAATCCTTTGTATATATACTTTGAAGTCTCATATTCTCCCTGTATACCAAAGTCAGTCAGCTCCATGATGGGAGTAATAAGGAACAGTAATAACAGCAGACATAGCAACTTTTGATCTTCATACCTAGCTCTCGGTGAGGAGGATGGACACCACCAGACTCTGATACATCTTTTCATTCTCACAATAAAAGATATTTGTTTAGTATTTAATGGATTATTGTAATATCTTAGATTCATGAAGAGGAGACCCTCGTCTTATGCATCCTAGTTGTTTTGTTAGGGTGAAGTGTGAACATTCCAGTTTTGTAAACCCCTGTTCTTGTTATTTGTTTGAAAACTGGAGTGTGGCCTTTGGTCTCTGAAGATGCAGAGCCCAGTGGAGATAAAATTGGGACACTGCCAGAAGAGATGGCAAACATGAAGACTTAAGACGACAAAGTCAGTACAAAGGTATGGAGAGCCTGGATAGACCTTAGACCTTCAACAGCCCTTTGTGGCTCCTGAAACTCTGAACATATTTCTGAGGTGTTTTATCTTGATTAAAGTGATTTGTCTGGAAAATGCCATTTTAACTGTGGTTGGGACTATTTTGGGGGAAAAGCAGGTACTTATGTGTATAAAATGAAAAACGCGAACTGAGAACCACTGTGTATTCATTCATGCTACTTTGCTCCTTGTATGTGGACATAATGTTTCTGGCTGCTTTCAGGTGCTGTTGCCTTGATTTCTCTTCCATGATCAACTGTAACCTGTAGCTGTGAGCTATAAAAACACTTTCTCCTTTAAGCTTCTCCCATTTCCCTGAGTATTTTATCATAGTTACAGAAAAAGTAGCAGGGAGAGGCCCTGTGATCCCCTCCTTCAGCAATGCTTGCATGTTGACAACTCAGGGTTATGCCTGTCTTATGTAGGTAACCGCACTTGCTGTAAGTACAATGTGACATTATATTCAGGAGGTGGTACCATTCTTCATTCCTCACTTTCTTCTTTCAGGCTACCTGGGCCATAAAGAGACAGATATAGATGTGCTGACTATGTCAGACACTCAGTGGTCACTTATTCTCTTTGCTTGGACAAGCTACTAGTTTGTACTATCAATTAACTATTACCAATTGCACGCAGAGATGTGTGACTTTCATTGAGACCACTGCAAATCTGTTCACATAAATACAGCTAAGGTAATTTGACACCATATGAATTTAGAAAAGTAAGAGTATAAGATTCCTCTGTAGGGTGTATAATGATTCCTGAATGGATATTTGATTGAGTATTGTAGTACCATGAATAGATACTCTCCTGTTGAACATACCTCATATAACATAAATAAGCAGTTAACTGTTCCTTTAACAGTCATGCCACTATGTCACAAGTAGGCAGATGGAGCCTTTCTGGTAGGTAATATAGGACATAGGATCCAGAGTTAGGTAGGACCATTGGTGACTTTTTTTCCTTAGAGGTCTATACAATGCATTCCAAGTTATGAAGCTAGTGAAAAGGAGGAAAACTTCAGCTCTTTTTCAGCTTTCTCCATATTACACAACAAAAGTTTATGATATCTTCCTCATTTGGGTCTAATTATTTAATAGGAAACCAACATTGATTTCAATATGCTGTATTGTTGAGATGTATGCTTCTGGGTCCTCCTTGTCTGACAACTCTGACTTTGAAATACATGATTCTAAACTACTGTTTAACAAACTGTTGCTTCTGGGCATTATCCATATTTTCAGGAAGTCTTTATTACAAATCTTTTATAATTCTATTTTAATTATAAAGTATCATGTTTCTATACAGCTTTTTCATTGACCCTTATTTTTCTTAACCCACTTTACTGACTTTCTTACTGTGAGGATTGAAACCCAGGTCTTAAAACTTCTCCATGTTATCACACTGTTATATTCATATGGTAATCTTGCAAGAAAGGGTATTAACATATTCCTACCATAGGGAAGGAGAAAGTTTATGATCTGCTTGAGGTTGAACAGTTTTGTGTTATCCCTTGTCTTAAATGGAAGCTAGTATGGATCACCCTAAGAAGGAGAATAAGGTAAGATCTTCTAGGTAAACTGAAGCTGAGGAGGGTATTACAGAGAGGGAATGTGGAAGAGAACACGATAGAATGGAATGGTTGAGTTGAGGGAGGGTTGGAATGCTAGAGCAAAGAGAGAAATATCTTTTTTTCCCATTTTTAATTTTTGATTTAATTTTACATTCCAACCACTGTGCTCCCTTCTACTCCCCTTATCTCTCCCCCCCAGGGCACTCCCAGTCCACTCTTCCTCACAGGTAAGGGCCCCCATGAAGACTCAACATAGTTTAGCACAATAGGTTGGGGCAGGGCCAGACCCCTCTCCCATGCATTAAGTCTGAGCATGGCATCCCACTATGGGGAGTGGGCTCCAAAAAGCTAGCTTGTGTAAGGGGATAACATCATGGTCCTACTGCCACTGAGCATGGCATCACACCCTAAGGAGTGGCATCCAATAAGCTAGCTCAATTATCAGGTTTTTATCATGGTCCACTGCCAGGGGACCCTCAACTAGTCCAAATTTCACAACTGTCTCCTACAAATAATGGGTAAAGTTTGGTCCCCTGGAGTCTCCATAGTTGTAGTTCTAGAGTTCATGAGTTTCCATAAGCTTGGTTCAACTGTCTCTGTAGATTTCTCCATCACAATCTTTTTTTTTTTTTCGAGACAGGGTTTCTCTGTAGCTTTGGAGGCTGTACTGGAACTCACTTTGTAGACCAGGCTGGCCTCGAACTCACAGAGATCCGCCTGCCTCTGCCTCCCGAGTGCTGGGATTAAAGGCGTGCGCCACCAACGCCCGGCCTCTCCATCACAATCTTGACCTCCCTTGCTCATGTATTCCCTCTTCCCTCTCTTCATCTGGATTCCCAGAGCTTTGCCTGGTTCTTGATTGTGGATCTCTGTGTCTGGTTCCATCAATTATTAGATGAGGACTCTACAATGATAGTTGTGGTATTCATCAATCTTATTATAGGGGTAGGCCAGTTCAGGCATCCTCTCTACTATTGCTAGGAATCTTAGCTGGGGTCCTCCTTGTAGACTCTTGAGAGTTACCCTAGGACCAGGTTTCTCCCTAAGCCTACAGTGGCTCTTTTTATTAAGACAGAAAGAGATTTCTTAACAGAGCCAGCCATTCTGGGGTTAGGGAGAAATGTGGTGCCAGGGAAATTCTCAGGAATCCACAAGCATGACCCCAGTTAAGACTCTTAGCAATAGTAGAGACGGTGCTGGAACTGACCTTCCCCTGTAATCAGATTAGTGAATGCTGTAATTTTCCTCATAGAACCTACATCCAGTAACTAATGGGTGCAGATGCAGTAATCCACAGCCCAGCACCAGGACAAATTCAGGGAATCCAGTTGAAGCAGGGAGAAAGGAATATATTAGCAAGGGAGGTCAAGTTCATTACAGGGTAACCCACAGAAAAAGCTGGCCTGGACATGTGGGAATTCATGACTGACATCTGTGGAGCCTCCTTGGGAATGAACCTGGGCCTCTGCATGTGGGAGAGAGTTGTGTAGCTTGGTCTACCTGAGGGGCCCCTAGCAGTGAGACCGGATCTTTCTCTGGATGTCTTACTCAGGCTTAATGCAAGGGGGAGGGGCTTGTTTCTGCCTTAACTTAATGTGCCATACTTTGTTGATTCCCCATGGAAGGTTTTACCTATGGAAGGAGTCGATGAGGGGTGGGTTGGGAGGGAGGTGAGGTGTGGGAGGGAAAACTGTGCCTGGAATATAAAATGAAATTGAACAAACAAAATTGGAAGCTAGTGACATTCCTCCAGCAAGCATCAGTGCCTGAAATGTTGAAACAGAATCTGCAGTGCCAGATGAGGAGCTGTGGTCAGGAGAGAAGGACTGAGGATGAAGAAATGGTGAAGTTTAGATGTGGAGCGATGATAAAGAGGGTCAGCCTTTTATCAAAATGAGGAAGTCAGAGGAACAAAATTACAGGAAACTAAAGTACAACTCAGGCCATAAGGGGGTAAGTTTCCTCCAATATCTCAGTTATGCCTTGTCAACATTTCCAGAAACTCCATTCTGTAGCCTTTGTCTTGTAATGTTCCTATTCACCTCTAGTCAACCCAGGAAGAGTCTGGTCTTCTTTAGCTCTTATTTCACGACTGTTACTTCTGTCATTAACTCAAAAAAATCTCTGTCCTGAGATGTTCTTGTTGCTGTACAAATGGAAGGAAGTAGCAAAAGCCATCCTGAGTGAGGTAACCCAGACCCAGAAAGACAAATGTGTGTGCACTCACTCAGAAATTGGATATTAGACATAGAGCAAAGGATAACCAGACTACCAGGCCACAACCCCAGAGAACCTAGGTAACAAAGAGGACCCTAAGAGAGACATACATGAAGGCAGAAAACAACACAATCTCCTGAGTAAATTGGGAGCATGGCAGACAGAGGTCAGGATGGAAAGGTAGAGGGTAGGAGGGAAAGTGTGTATGGGGAAATTATACAGCTCAATAAAAATGGCAAAAAAGAAGAGTAGAAACATGTACACAGTAAAACAAAGTAACCTTAAATTTGTATCAATTTACAAAAACCCATACCAAGGTAAAATATTAGAGGCTAATATTTGCTTTAAAGCATAAAAGTAGATTCAATAGTCTACCCTTTTATTCCATCATTTCCATATACCCCCTTTTTTCTCTTCAGAAAGAGATCCTTGAATCCAACTTCCCTTGCTTAGTTTCTTTCCTTATCATGAGTAGTAACAATTTGCAACCAATTGCCCAAATGATGACAAACATCCATAAACTGCTGAATGACCGAAAATCACCTAAACCAACTCTTAGAAATATGGGCATTGTGTTCTCCAGATTGCTTCCTGTTGTCTGGGGGTGATGGAATCTTTAGGGAAGCCTTAGAAAATTAACATCATAGGCAAGCTTGCGAGAGTTAGCTGTTGTCTAGCTTTGGTGTTACAGGAAAATGTAGAGCTTATCTAAAGTCTGTGAGGCTTCACCATCTGAGCTGGCAGCTGTGAAATTGTTCTGGATGCAGAATTTTGAGGAAACTGCAACAGAGGCAGTCTGGCCCTCTGAAAGACTGGACCACTTGAGCTATTTGTCTTTATTGGTATCTGGTTTTTGTTAGGAAAACACACAAACTTGAAACCCACCATGCAGCCCTGCACATGGTGCTGGCTGGCTCAAGCCAGCAGGCAATGGCCCCATCTACTCCATGTTTGGAAATTTTTAAAGCTTTCTCGGGTCCTGCATGGAAATACTTGCCCCCCCCATATTGGATGCCTTTTATAAGGAGTCTTTCCCTGGCCTGTCAGCCAGCTCCCAATAATGACACAGAGACTTTTATTAATTGTGAAAGCTTGGCCTATAGCTTAGGCTTGTTTCTTTCTGATTCTTATAGCTTAAATTAAACAATTTTTATTTATCTATGTTATGTCATTTGGATCAGTTACCTGTTTTATTCTGTATCTCAAAGTTGATTGGAATCTCTTGTAATCTCTCTGGCATGGTCTGAATTCTGAGGTTGTTCCTATGCTTTTTCTCTGTCCTTAGAAATCTAGTCTGTCTCTCCTATCTACCATGACAAAACCTCTTTTCCATTTTCCAGGTCTAGTTTCTTCTCTGTGTCTGGTATCTGCTGATGACTGACTTTTTTCCTCCCAGACTTCTCTCTCTGCCCAGATGTCCCACCTATACCTCTGGCCTAGATAATGACTATTCAGATTTTTATTGCAACAATCACAACAATCTTTTTCACACCATACAAATATCCCACAACAAATGTTATACCTACACCGGAGACAATATGCCTGTGGATAAAAGTAGGCATTACTGTATTTCAGTGTCACTGTTGTGATATGAGCTATTGCAGTACCCATTTGCAGATAGAGCACAGAGATACACTGCCACCGACTCTCTTGGAGCCCTGACTCTACCTCAGTCTCCATGGTAGATAAAGTCTCCCTGCAATGATCCTTCACAGGGTAGGTCTAGGAACTGAACAGTTTCAGCCTCTTTTCTTGAACAGGGAAGCATATGTGTTTTAGGAACTTTAAGTTTGGGGAAGTTTCACTTCTGTTTTTCAACTCATGACTTTGATGACATTTACAGTTTAACCATCTTCAAAACATAGGAGCAGAGAGGGGCCCTTTAACCATAACATTTACATGGCCAAAACCCTCTTGTATCCCTACTACATTATCAAACATTCTGAAAGTTGTTGAATGTCCAAATCACAAGCAACCCTGAACCCATAAGTACTATGAAAAATGACACTTACATTAGAAAATGATGCTGATATTATACAACCAGGATACTGCTGAGGCTCATAGCTGAGATGCCAACAACATTTAAGTTAGAATGGACATCTGTGATTGAACAAGCATTAAAAAATCAGCCTTCACCAAAACCAGGAGGATTCTGAACAATGAAATAGAAACCCAAATAAGAAAGAATGCTGATAGGCTGTTCCTATGGAAATCATGTATATTGCTAAGAAAATGGAAAGGAATCTAATGGAGATTTGTTAGAATATAATCAGATCAAGAGTCATGAGAATGCCACACTTCCTTTCACAATTTCCTGCAAGTCTCCTCTGTGTTTACCCAGGAGAACTGAAGGATAAGGTGGCCAGTGTGTCCCTTCTGGTCTGTATTCTCCCAACAACATCAATCTGCATCTTCTTTTGCTCTGGATCACTACTCTCCAGGCATGGCATGTCTCTTGTCCCATTGAAGTTTTGGTAGCTGCACAGAGGTGACCTGTATAACAGTGACCCTATTAGTATTCTTTCATGTTATAGATACTCCTAAAGCTACTCCTCTTCAATCAGAACTATAGAGAGTTAAAAGTTGCAGGCAAAGACTGTTTTCAGAGAAATAACCACTGAGAATTTTCCAATATTACTGAGCATAATGGAGCACACTCTTCTCAACAGTTGAGTGTGAGACTGGCTGGTGGATCTAGTCTGTTATGCATAGCAAGTTCTAGTACAGTCAGAGAAACATAGTGAGAGCCTGTCTCAGCAAACAAACAAAACCACTAAGACTCCCCAATATTGACAGCACACTTCTTAGGAACACTCCTATAATTCATTTGTTCCACAGCTTGATTTGTGTGGAATATTTGTTTCTGTCACTGTTTTCTCATGTGGCATGTGTAGGCATTGTTCTTGTATTCCTAGGTCAAGTTCACACAACATCCTCAAAGCATCTCCCAGGCAGGCCAGAAAACTGGCCATGAGTTTGGTCTGGCTGAAGGAGTAAAGGAGCATCAAGAAGAAGCTCTGAGAAGCTAGGGAAAAGGAGGACCCTAAGAGAGACATAGATTTTTCCCCCAGAGAAGGGGAAAGGAACAAGAGCTTCTGAACAAATTGGGAGCACAGGAGGGAGGGGAAAGTAGGTAGGAGAAAGAGGAGGGGGGAGGAGAACATGAGCGATAAGGAAGATGGCATCAGGGAAAGAATAAGAAAAGATATGTCTTAACAGAGGGAGCCATTGTATGTTTAAAGAGAAATCTGTCACTGGGGAAATGTCCAGAGATCCACTAAGAATCCAAGTAATAGTGGAGAGGCTCCCTTAAATGTCCTTCCCCTATAATCAGATTGATGACTCCCTTGAATGCCATCCTAGAGCCTTCATCCGGTGGGTCCTGGAAACAGAAATAGAGACCTACACCTGGGCACTGAGGTGAACTCCTGGAATCCAGATTTAGAGAGAGGAGTGATGAACAGAGCAGGTCGGGACCATGCTGGGGAAACCCATGGAGACAGCTGACCTGAGCAAGTGGGAGCTCATGGGTCCTAGTCTAACAGCTGGGGAAGCAGCATAGGACCGAACCAGGGCCCCCGAACCTGTGTGTCAGTTGGGAGGCTTGAGTAGTCCCTGTGCCATCTGGCAGTTGAACCAGTATTTATCCCTAGTGCAAGAATGGACTTTGGGAGCCCACACCCCATGAACAGATACTCTCTCAGCCTAGATACATGGGTGAGGGCCTAGGCCCTGCCCAAAATGATGTGACAGACTTTGATGATTCCCCATGGAAGGCTTCACCCTCCCTGGGTAGTAGATTGGGGTGGGATGGGGGTGTCAGTGGTGTGGGGTGTGGGAGGACAGGAGAAGAGGGAACCGAGATTGATATGTAAAATAAGATTGTTTCTAATACACACACACACACACACACACACACACACACACACATCTGGGGGAGAAAGATCAAGCTCCTCAGGGCTCTGCAAGAGCAGAGGTGGCTCAGGAAGTCACTAGGTTTATATTTTGGGTTAAGCCCTGGTATGTGGTGACTGGGAGCATTCATGCAATTGTAGAGGGATACAGTGGAGATGTTCCACAGGAAGAGATCACTGTCAGACTTGGGGTTGTGATACCAGAGCACTGGAAGCTGAGGGAAAAGAATGAGGAGTCTGATACTTGAATTTGCAATCCCAGAGCACAGTAAGCTCAGGGATAAGAGGGAGGAGTCTGAGACCTGCATGAAGTTTAAGAGGTTTGGTCTCAGACAAAAAAAAACAAAACCAAAGAACCACAGAGAGACAGAAGCCACACATTCTGGAGCCCAACCCATCACAGCACAGGGAAGAAGAGTCAGGCGCCTGGTTAGAGCAGTTCCTCTTCAGCAACTACTAATATGCCATCGTCATGACAGGAAGCAGAAATAAACCTGCAGAGGCCACACAGCTTGTGTCTGTGTGTTCGGAAAGGAGACCAATTATCTGAAAACGTGTGGTAACTGGAGATGTCATGACCCCTTTTCTCGAAGTCTTGCTGTATCTTGGTGAGATACCAAATGGGGATGGGGAATTCTTGTGTGAGAGAATCCACCTCACAATCATGATTTGGGGCACCAGGATTTCTCATCAGCTCCAGAAGGTACCAGGAAGTGGATGATATATTGATGTTTCAGTGCAAACACTCACAGGTAATTCTGTTGCAGGACTGAGTCTGGACATCAGGATCCCAGTGCTAGCAGGTGAGTGTCTTCCCAGTTGCCCCAGATTGGACAACCTTGATGGGGATCACAGGTAACTCATGAACAGAGCAGATGGAGAACAACATGTGAGGCCAGATGCTGGGGATGCCTGAATAATTCTGGGTCTGAGAGCTTGTATCTCAGAGGGATTTCTAGGGGGAGGTCTTGTGTCTCAGAATTTATGTCAGATGGGAAGATCTGTGGAACCAACTGCCAATTTCTTTCAGGGACCCTCTCTAAACCTACACTCAGGGCAGTGCCAAGTAATGTGGTGGCCACTGGAAGCCAGGTGACATTCTTATGTGAAGGACCCTCAGAGGCCAAGGAATATCATCTCTACAAAGAAGGAAGTGAGGATTACCTGATGCCAACAACCATTCTAAAAACTGAGAACAAGGCCACATTCTCTGTCTCATCAGTTCAATGGAATAATGCAGGGCAATATACGTGTGAATATAAAAGCTCCACCGGCACATCTGAACGCAGTGACAATCTGGAGCTGGTGGTGACAGGTGACAGAACCCTCCTTCAATCCCAGGATTTTCTTAAGGAAAGGAATATGTTCAAAGGGGGGAGTCTCCACTTCAAAATCTGAGAAGATGGGAACAATGATTCTCATGTAAGTCCACATAACCTGCTTCTTCTTCTTCCTTAGGACATCATTCCTACAACATCACCCTGTCAGCACTGCCCAATATGGTGGTGACCTCAGGTGATAATGTGACCCTTAAGTGTGTGTCAGAACGGGCATATGATGTGTTCATTCTAATGAAGGATGATGAGAAGTTCTCCAGGCATTTGCCCTCACAGAATATCCACCCTGAATACCTTGGCCCGTTTGGAGCCCTGTTCACAGTGGGTACTGTGAACCCCAGCCAGAGGTGGAGGTTCACATGCTATGGCTATTACTTGAGCACCCCCCAGTTGTGGTCAGTGCCCAGCAACCACCTAGAGCTCCTGGTTTCAGGTAAGGCAGTACAGGAGGTTCATTTGAGTGTGATTGCTACTGACACAGGATACCAGGAAAGGACCTGATGTGCTGCGCGTGATCAAGAGGCAGTACTTTTGACACCAGTTTCACCAAATGTGTGATAAATCTAGACTTGAGATACAAAAATCTGGGTGGATAATCACAGTGGTCCTAATGAGTTAAGGGAGAAATCAGGTCTTTATGTGCTGGTCTCAGGTGAGGAAATTTCAGGCACTTTGTGGAATCACATTCTCCCAGATGTGGGTTCCTAGTGTAAACCATGGTGTGTGGTGTGTCTGAAGATCCAAAGCTCCTGAGATAATTGACACAGCATACAGACTGTGGGAGTCAAGGCACAAAAAATGAGGGCAGGGCATAGGAACAGTGAAACCTGCAAGGGTCAGGAGACTGATGAGTCTTCTCATGGCATTTCTGTTCCTTTTTCTATTCAGTGTTAAAGTAAAAGAGCAGCAGCAAGTTTGACTTTTACTGTGAAACTGTTCAATGTCCCACTTCTCACCTACTTCCTTTCAGGGAAACTGAAAAAACCCACCTTGTGGGCTGAGCCAGGCTCTGTGATTGCTTCAGGGGATGCTGTGACCATCTTGTGTGAGTGGACAAAGGAAACCCAAATATATTTCCTCTACAAAGAAGGAAGCCCAGCCCCCTTGGATACTCAAACCCCGAAAGATCCTGGTAACAAGGCCATGTTCTCCATAGCATCCATGGAAAGGCATCATGCAGGGAAATACTGGTGTTACTCTTACAGATCTGCAGGGTGGTCAAAGCGTAGTGACCCACTAGAACTGGTGGTGACAGGTGAGAGAATAATTCTTCAATCCTAGGAATTTCCTTGAGGAAAGGAGTGTGCTCATCGTGGTGTCTCCTCCTCAGTTTACAGAAGAGGGGGCAATGTTTACTTTCTGTTTCCACTTAAAAGGCTTCCTCTTCTCTCCTAGGACTTTACTCCAGCAAACTGACTCTGTTAGTCTTTCCCAGTCCTGTGGTGGTCCCACGACAGAATGTCACCCTCAAGTGTGTGTCACAACAGGCGTATAACAGATTCATTCTAATGAAGGAAGATCAGAAATTCTCCAGTGCTGTGTCCTCAAAGAACATACACCATGGTCTTTCAGGAGCCACTTTCGAAGTGGGTCCTGTGACCACCAACCAGAGGTGGAGGTTTACGTGCCATGGCTATTATGTGAATAGCTCCCAGTTGTGGTCATTGCCCAGTAATGACCTAGAGCTCCTGGTCTGCGGTAAGGAAACTGCAGCCTTATCTTTGAATAGTGATACAGCAGACACAGGATCCCAGGAAAAGACCTGATGTATAATGGTTGATCAAGAGACTATACTATTGTCACCAGTTTCACCAAATGTGTGATAAATCTAGACTTGAGATACAAAAATCTGGGTGTATAATCACAGTGGACCTAATGAGTCAAGTGAGGTCTTTATGTGTGCTTCTGCTATTGCAAATCAACTTCAATGTCATTGGCAAATGTGACCCTTTATGTGCCACTGTCCTAAGACATGCTCTTATTTTTCTTCTGCATCTTTTCAGGGAACCTTCAGAAACCCAACATTTGGGCTCAGCCAGGTTCTGTGATCTCTTCAGGGAGTTCTGTTACCATCTGGTGTGAGGGTGTGCTAAAAGCCCTTACCTATGTGATACATAAAGAGGGAAGCCCAGAAACCAGCAACACAGAGACCCAAGTAGACCACAACAATAAAGCAAAATTCTCCATCCCATCTGTAACCAGCCTGAACGCAGGGCGATATAACTGTTACTCTTACAGCTCTGCTGGGTGGACAAAGCGTAGCGACACCCTGGAGCTGGTGGTGTCAGGTGAGAGGACACTACGTGCCACAGTCTTTGCCTGTGTCCTCAGGAAATAATCGCCCAAAGGTGTGCTTGAACAGCACACCTGCTGCAGACAATGTAGCCAATGTTTCTTTTAAAAGGCTGCCTCTTCATCTCCTAGGTGTCCATGATGGCAAACCTACTCTGTCAGCTTTACCTAGCCCTGTGGTGACTTCAGGTGGGAATGTGACCCTTCAGTGTCACTCATCCAAAGGATATAATGGGTTCATTTTGACTGGGACAGATATGAATTTCTCCATGTCCCAAAAGGCAGAGTTCATAAACAATGGTCACTTCCAGGCTCTGTTTCCCGAGATCTCTGTGACATACAGGAATAATGGGTCCTTCAGATGTTATGGATACTATACAAATACTCCATATGTGTGGTCAGAGTCCAGTAACCTGCTGGAGATACATATCTCAGGTGAGGAAGCCTCCTCTATCACTTAGCTCTTTGACATCAGAAACCTTTGTTATAAGTCATTCTGCCTCACAGAGGGTTAGATTCCATGTTGGATGAAGACAGCTCTTGACAGCTAAGGCCCATAGTGGGAAAAACCATGGCCCTCTAAGAATAGGATGGTATTTGGAATAGATTTCAAGAGCCAGCTGTATGACTCTCTTTGTATCTTCCTTCCAGGGATGTCATTGAAGCCCTACTTGATGACCCAACAAGGCACCATCTTGGAACCTGGAGAGAACCTTACCCTCAAGTGTTCCTCTGAGACAAATTATGATAGATATGCTCTGTACAAGGAGGGGGAAAGTGACCTTACACAAGTCTCTGTCCATCAGCCTCAGGCTGCACATTTTCATGCCAACTTCACCTTAGTCTCTGGGAATTATTCCGTTGGTGGTCGCTATAGGTGCCTTGGTGCACATAGCAACTCCCCTGAGTGGTCAGCCCCCAGTGACCCTCTGGACATCCTGATCACAGGTGAGGAATAGAGTGCATTCAGTTGGGACCCATCTTGGCACAGGCTCATCTGGGAGACAAGCTGGGATCCTTCATCAAGTTGTTGATGAGCGTCTCCAGGGTAGACTATGTCTAGAGACAAAAGAGCAAGAAGAGACAGTACAAGGGACTGTCTGTTTAAGTATAGAGACTAGGTTCTGATTGAGTGCCTCAGAGCAACAACTCTAGATCCTCACTCACTCATTATTTCTTTCCTTTAGGACACCTGCCTGTCAAACTTAATCTCTCAGTGCATCCAGGATCTACTGTGTCCCCAGGAGAGAATGTGACTCTACGGTGTCAATCATCAGTCCCAGTGGACACTTTCTTTCTATTCAAGGAAGGTGCAGCCACACCCTACATGCAGCAAAGATCACAGTCTCAAGATCCACAACATGAGGCAAAATTCTCCATGAGCACTGTGACCTCGGCCCTTGGTGGTTCCTATATCTGCTTTGGCTCTCAAAGCTCATCCCCTTTTTTGTTGTCACACTCCAGTGACCCTGTGGATATCATAGTCTCAGGTGAGGTGACCCAGGAGTTTGTGAGCTCAGAGGGTAACCCTGGATAATTGATCTAGGAAGTGACCTATGTAGAGTTTAAGAAGTAAACTATGATTTCTCAATTAATAGACATCATACCTTCTTTATTGGAATCTAGAAGATTCCAGGTAGGAAGCTGGGAGTTTCTGGAGGGGCTGCAGTGTAGCTAAGAGTCTGAGATGAGATGAGAAAATTTGTGCATCCTCCTACACATAATTCCTCCAACAATTTTTCTAGTTTCCTGGGTATTAAAATCCATTCTGATAGAGGTTTTATATATTTCTGTATATGGAGGATGCTTCTTCCTGAGTGTATGCAGATACTCTGTTCGCATTTGTCCTCATTCCTTTATCAGCTTGGATGGTGATCAAATCCTGGGTTTCAAGCAGAGGCTCCAGTATGTTTCCCAGAAGTTCAGAAGGTAGTCTGCAAGGAAAATACCCTGATAAAGTGTGATCTTGTTGATCTGTCCTATTGTGAATCACGTAAATTGATAGCAGATGTTAATTCCACAGATTTTCATCATCTAATGTGTCAGGTCATGAAAAGCAGCTCTTTATATCTGTTATGTCTGACTACAGAGGTCTAAGCATGAACTTTTGTGCAGGGTGTGTTCAGGGGTGATCAAGCTATTTATGTGGTTGGTATATTTTTGTCTGGAGTAGTCGACATGTACTAGCCCCTCTTTTGTGTGTTGCTCAGGTTCTGCATGTGTAAAATGGGAGAACCCTGGCACAGACATTACGTTCCTTTAAATGATGATATTATCTGTGTCACCTACTTACAGAGAAAGAGTCTAGATTCCTGTTCTGCAATGGTTCTGCTCCATCAACCTCTGTGTTGGTGACACTGTATAGGGTCATGGCACAGTGATATCGTGAGACATCAAGGATCCCTCCTTCCTGTTCATGAGGATTAGCTCCAGTGTAGGGAACATGGTAGGAGGCAAGACACCCTGGGTTCAATCCTCAGCCAAGCACCTTTCTTCTTGGTGTTTTGTATCAGGGAATATGACTGGAATTGATGATAGACGATCCCATGCTACAAGGCTATGAGAATCATAGGCAGTAAATATAAAGACCCAATATGGGGCATTGGCACAGTAGGTTTCCTATTTATTTATTTACTTGTTTATTTGTTTTTGTCTTATACAGTACATCCCAATTGCTACTTACCCTTCCTCCAGTCATTCAAGTCTCCCCAAACATATTCATTCTCCTCCAGAGTCAGGAGCCCAGTGTCATCACCCTTAATAAAGAATAGACATGCCACAACAGGATATTGTAAGATCAAGCACAAATTCTCATATCAAAGGCAGGGTGAGGCCACTACGTAGGAAGAATAATGTCTAAAAAGCAGGAAAATGTGTCAGCTACATCCTCACTACTACTTTCAGAAGTCCCTGAAAACAGCACACAAGAACCATAACATGGAGAAGACCTAGTGCAAACCCTCTCATAATCTATGATCATCTCTTCAGTCTCACACAAGCGGCTTTGTTCACTATTCCTTACTCATGATGTCACCTGTCTCCTAGGACTGGGAAGGCACCAAAATGCTGTGATCTGGGTCTCTGTGGCAGTCTTCTTTTTGCTCTTCCTTGTCCTCCTCTTCCTTTTCTTCAGATTGAGGCATCAGATGAAAGACAGGAAAGGAGGTGAGCATGTTATGGGGGTTCTGTGTTTCAGGGTGTAAGTGTTCTCTCTGTGTGCTCTGCAAGCAGGGGTTCATAGAATTAGCCCCAGTGATAGTTGAGACAGTGACACATCACTTTAGAAACACTTTGGCAGAATTTTAGCACAAAATGTGATTTGGAAATGTGTGGAATGTCCTGTGTTTTATGAATTTTCTACCTCATGGATGATTTCAATACACATGCAATGCATTGTTAATATCTTTTCTGAAGTTGCTAGTTAAGGTCTTCCATCCTCCTGGCTGAGTCTCCTTCCTCTCTTGCAGCCCATACAAAGACTGACTTGCAGCCTCCTGCAGATTCAGTAACCAGGCACAAAAGCCTCCAGAATAGGTAACTCATACTCAGAAACATAGATTATAGCTGCCTGACTTCCCTCACAGCCATTTGACACTTCATTGTTTCCCCAGCTCCAACCCAGCTCCTGCCATCCAGGAAGAAATCTTGTGTGAGAAGAAGTGGGCCCTGGAGGGATATTCCTGAGTTCAGAGCATCATGGGGTGGTGAAACATCTGGGATTCTGGACCCTCTCTATATACCCTTGTCCTCTCCATCTTCTCTTTCCCTATTTGTGATAGAGCAGGGGTCTGGGGAAGTGAATTGCCCTAACATTCTGGTCAGGGGATGTCCTGCATGTTTTGTCATGACAGATGCCACTGTGAAGGTGAAACGGGCTACAGACAGCATGGAGCTGGATGTTCTGGTGAGATTCTCACTTATCCACAATGCTAAGAACTTTTGATCCAGTACAACCCAGGAGCAATCTCTGTTCTCCCTTCTATCAGTCTATAGTATCGTTCACAGCTAAATCCTTGTTTCGAGAAGGACATATATTCTTTATGCTATACCCTCATTTTTCCTTGATTATTTTTGAGAACATAGCTCTTTCTGACTCCTCATTGTCTCTTGCTTCTAGAATGCTTCTTTTTTGGCTTCATTTTTTCTTTTCTTTTTTTTACTTATTCTTTTCTCATTATATGTATCAATCACAGATCTCAATCCCTTCATCCTCCTGCTGTCTCCACCTTCCCCCATCACACCCCACCCCACTGCTTGGAGAGGTTAAGGCTTCCCATGGGGAGTCCAAGGCCCTCCCCCATACCTATCTAGGTTGATCAAGGTTTAGATCCAAAGAGAATGGGTTCCAAAAAGCCAGTTCAAGTACTAGGGATACATTCTGGTCCCACCCCAGTGTCTTCACAGACTCCCCAAGCCACACAACTGCTACCCATATTCAGATGGCCCAGTCTGGACCCATGCAGGTCCCCTATCTGTCAGTCCAGAGCCAGTGATCTCCCATTTGCTGAGGTCATAGGTGCGTGTGAACTTCCCCCAAATAGTCTTGAACCCTCTGCTCATATTATCACTCCTCCCTCTCTTCAACTGGACTCTGGGAGCTTGGCACAGTGCTTAGCTGTGGATATCTACATCTGCCTCCATCAATTGCTGGATTTGGTTTTTGTGATGATAATTCAGGTAGTCATCACCCTGATTACAGGGGTAGGCCAGTTCAGGTACCTTCTTCGTTAATGCTTAGGTTCTTAGTTGGGGTCATCTTTTGTATTCCTTGTGAATCTCTAGTGCCAATTTTTCACTAGCACCATAATGACTCCCTCAATCAAGATATCTCTTTCCTTGCTATTGCTCTCCGTCCTTTCCCCAACTCTATCATTCAGTTCTGTCATGTTCTCCTCTCCTAACTCCCTCTCTACCTCTCATTTGCCTTCCCTTCTCCATTCCATTATACTCCCAATTATCTCAGGAGATCATGCCTATTTCTCCTTCCTAGGGTGACTCACATATGTCTCTGTTAGGGATGTACTTGATAACTAGCTTTTCTAGTGTCAAAGATATAGGCTGAGTATAAATTTCTTTATGTCTATTATCCACTTATGAGTGAGTACATACCATGTTTGTCTTTCTGGGTCTCTGTTACCTTACCCAGGATGGTTTTTTTCTAGTCCCATCCACGTGCCTACATATTTCATGATGTCATTGTTTATTTTCCTGCTGAATAGCACTTCATTGTCTAAACGTACAATATTTTCTTTATCCATTCTTTGGTTGAGGGGCATCTAAGTTGTTTCCAGGTTCTGGCTAGTACAATAATGCTTTGTTGAGCACATTGCTATTAATGTAATAGTGATATGACAGTGCATGCTTTGCATATTTTCCCAAGAGTGATATTTCTGGTTCTTGAGGTAGATTTATTTGCAATTTTCTGAGAAACTGCCAGACTAACATTCAAAGCAGCTGAACATGATTTCATTCCCACAAGCAGTGGAGATAGTTCCCCATTCTCCATATCTTCTCCAGCATAAGCTGTCATCAGCGTTTTTGATCGTAACCATTCTGATAGGTGTACTATGGTATCTCAGAGTCTTTTTGATTTCCATTTCCTGGATGGCTAAACATGTTGAGCAATTCCTTAAGAATCCTTTGAACAATTCAGATTCTTCTGTTGTCTAGATGCTTATTGGGACTCAGAAAACAATATGAGGGTAAAAAATTGTAGTTCAATGGCAAATTACTTACTTTAGCTTTATGAGGCCTTGGAGTTTAAGCTTTAGTTATAAATATTCAATGCCTTCTTCTATTTTTCCCCAACTCATTTTCTCTGATGAATTCAGACAGGCTCTCACAGCATCCATGGTGCTCTTTACTTGGGTAGGAATGTTGCCACTGAATACTGGGTGCCTCTCACAGCTTCACAATCACTCAGGCCTCAGGCATGTTCATTCTTGTTTTGCCTTTTTATATGGGCACTGGTAAAACTCAGACGCTCATGTTTGTATAGCAACAACTCTGGTATTTGACTCTTGTTCCCAGTTGCTGTATGTCCCTCTTAATCATGCTTCTGTGATGGCTGCACATACAGCATGAGACAGAACTCCTTACCAATCGTGACCATCTAATGTGAGAGGTGAAATGTAGATGAAGTCTAAGAGTGACCACTGCAAAGTATATAAGAGAAGGCAATTATAGGATGTTGGTTGACGTAATGTGACATACAGATGGTCATTGTGAATTTAAGTAAACTTGAAGGAACACTTCTGATGGGGTCCAGCTCCAGGAGTCCTCCCAAACAAAGGGATGAAGTACTGTACAACTCATGTTGATTAAGGGCATGATTGTTGAACCCAGAGAGCTAACTGTCCTGAGCTCCCAGGAGCTCAGAGAGTATAGCCAGTAGTTTGGGAACCTAAGCTGGACAGACCTGGGCCCTCTGCATATTTAGCTGTTTAACTTTGTTTTTTTTGTAAAGCTTCTAGTAGTGAGATCAGGAAATGTCTCTGGTGCTTAGCTGGCTTTCCCCTTTCTGAATGGATATGTGGGAGGATTGGATGGGAGAGTAGAATGGAGAATGTGGAAAGGGAAAAGGAGAAGAGGAAGGATAATCTGACTTTGTATGAAAATAAATGAAAATATTTTAATTGTATAATAAAAATAGAAAAAGGAAGCGTTGTTAGGTGAAGTTTCAGTAAATAGGTCCATAAAAGCCTGTAATGAATGTGCATATCTTGGAATGTTACATGGCAATTCCCAGTGTCCTGGTGGCAGAGAAATTCACTTTGTAAAGGATGTAAGCACTGGGGAGGAAGTCACTGTATCCTGATAATATGTCAGGAATGCTAAGCAGAAAGTGACAGGCACTCAAATTCCCTCTGAGATCCTAGAAGATCCCACAAGCCATGGTTTAGTTTCACATAAATATCTGAAATATCATTCTTACACACAATGGAAGGATGTGTCAATAGCATTCTTAGTAACCAGGATGACTCCATTTGTTTCATTGTGTTACTGCTTCAGAGCCAAAGTGAGGAAGACCACTCCCGTGATTTGTATGCCCAGGTGAAACCCTCCAGACGCAGAAGGGCAGACATGACCTCTTCTTCCCTCAAGAGAAAGGAACTACAGGCCTCAAATGACACCCAGAAAAAAGGACCCCAAGTGACAGATGAGCAGGTGGGTCATGTCCTCTCTAGTCCCCATGGACCCAGGGCCCAAGATCAACCTTCTTCCACATTTTCACACTCCAGGCTGATCCCTCTGATGAGCTCCATGATGTGACCTATGCCCAGCTGTGCATCATGACACCAAGACAGGGCCAGGTGGACGTCCCATCTTCCAGGTGGAAACATCCCCGCTGAGAACGCACTCTGGTATCTACCAGTCAGGGAGATCCAAATCTCTGTCTTCTGTGTGGGAGGGAGGACTCAAGAGTTTCAGTCTTAGGTGCACAGGTACTGTGCAGACATTTTCAGTCTGTAGGAGATTCTGAGAACTTTGAGGACTTACCTGATTCTAGAGTCAGAGATAAGTAATGGCTCTCAATTTTATAAATGGCTCAACTGCGTTGTCAATAAACAATGGATAAAATGAGGACAGATGAGAGAAATAAAAGTGGCATTTTTTGTCATTTTCTTTGTGTTTTCATTATGCTTGAGATTAACACAATTACATTTCCTCTTCCCTTTCCTCCCTTTAGACATCATTTCCATAGATCTATTTCCACCCCATTTCCAATTCATGACCTCTTTTTTCATTCATTGTTTATATATATATATGTGTGTGTGTGTGTGTGTGTCTGTGTGTGTGTGTGTTTGAAGATGCATATTAAAGTTTTAAACATTTTTACTCTGAGTATGTATATATATGTATATATGTGCACATATTTGTATCTCTTCGTCAATTACATCTTAATAAACTGAAAGTTTTTCTTTTAGTTTCTCACACAATGTTGTATAGTTAGTTTTCAATAAGTTACACTTGTATAATCTTACACAGTGTTGTATCGTTAGTTTTCAAAAAGATATGCATGAAGTTTCATATTCAGTGATGTACCGTTAGGTTTCAAGAAGTTACGTATATAGATTCTCACAAAGTGTTGTCTCACTATTTTATTTTATTAAAAATTTTAATTTTAAATTTAAATTCAAATTAGAAAGAAGGTTTCTTCACATGTCAATCTCACGTCCCTTTCCCTTTCCTTCCCCTCGTCCCACCCCCTCCCACCACCCACCTAATACCCACTCCTTTCCCCAGGGAGGGTGAGTTCTTCCATGAGGGTGTCCATAGTCTGTCATTTCATCCTGGACAGGTCCTAGAACCTCAAGCAAGAGTCCAGGGTGAGAGTGCATCTCTCACTGTGGGATGGGAGTCCAAAGTCCATTTGTATGCCAGGAATAAATACTGGTCAACTACCAAAGGCCCCATAGATTGCCTAGGCCTCCTCACTGACACCCACATTCAGGGGGTCTTGATCAGCCCCATGCTGGATTTCAAGCATCAGCCTGGGATTCAAGAGTTAACCCTTGTCAGGTCAGCTGTTTCTGGGGGTTAAACCAGCTCAGTCTTAATCCCTTTGGTCATCAGTCCTCCCTCTCTGTTACTGGCTTTCTTGAGTTCAGCTCAGTGCTTAGCCGTGGGAGTCTGCCTCTGCCTCCATCAGCCACTGAATAAAGGTGCTGTTTCCCTGACTCTCTGGCCATGGGATTGTAGGCTGGCACGCCCCAGATCTCTGTCGAAAATCCATATATGAGAGAATCCATGCCATATTTCTCTTTTTGTGACTGGATTATCTCACTCAGGATAGTTTCTTCTAGTGTCGTCTATTTGCCTGAAAATCTCAGGATTCCATTGTTTTTTTTTCTGCTGAATGGTACTCCATTGTGTAAATGTACCACATTTTCTCTATCCACTCTTTGGTTGACGGGCATCTAGGTTGCTTCCAGGTTCTGGCTATTACAAATAATGCTGCTATGAACATAGTGGAACAGACATCCTTGTATGAATGGGCACCTTTTGGATAAATGCCTAAGAGTGGAGTTGCTGGGTCTTGTGGTAGGTTTATTCCCATTTTTCTGAGGAATCTCCACACTGATTTCCAAAGTGGCTCAACAAGTCGGCACTCCCACCAGCAATGGAGAAGTGTTCCCCTTTCACCACATCCTCTCCAGCATAAATTGTCATTGGTGTTTTTGATTTTAGCCATTCTGACAGGAGTGAGATGGTATCACAGATTTGTTTTGATTTGTATTTCCGGGATGGATAAGGATGTTGAGCACTTTCTCAAATGCCTCTCAGCCATTTTAGACTCCTCTATTGAAAAGTCTCCATTTAGTTCTGCAGCTCAATTTTTAATTGGATCCTTTGGTGATTTGGAGACTTGCTTCTTTTTTTTTTTCAGGTTCAAGCTTTTTTTATTTATCTTCTCTGTTTTTAGACAAAGCATTTGTCTTTTCCAAGATGGTGTCTTGATCTGTTTTATTTACTGCATAGTCTACTTTATCCAAGTCTTTCTGTGCATAGCTGTGTTGTCCTGGGTTCATAACTCCTGAAGAAATTAAGGTACAGAAGTCTAGTGAAGGCAGTAACTCTGGAGGCATCTGGGTTTCAGAAAAGCACTTAGCAATGGTAGGGGTTACTTTACACAGGTCATGATTGCTAGTCTCTCTGCCTGTCCCTCCTTTCTTTTCTAACTTTGCGGCTGACAGATATATACATTTCTTTTTTTTGACTTTTAAATTTTTTTATTTTAATTTTAAATAGCTTGTTTTACATGTCAATCCCAGTTCCCTCTCCCTCCCCTCCTCCCGCACTCCCCTTCCCCCTCCCTCCCACCCTATTGCCAAATCCTTCCACATAGGGGATATCTAGAGTCTGTCATTTTACTCTGGGTAGGGTCCAGGCACTCCCCTAAGAGTCCAGGCTGAGAGAGCATCCCTCTTTGTGCTATAGGCACACGAAGACAGTTTGTATACCAGGGATAGACACTGATCCACAGCTCAGGGCCCCATAGGTTGCCCAGGCCTTCTCACTGACACTCACATTTGGGGGGTCCAGATCAGTCCCCTGCTGGCCTCCCCACTGTCGGTCTGTTGTTATGTCCCCCTTTTCATTTCTGATTTTGTTAATTTGCATGTTCACTCTCTGCTGTTTGGTAAGTTTGGACAAAGGTTTGTCTATCTTGTTGATTTTCTCAAAGAACCAACTCTTCGTTGCATTGATTCTTTGTATTGTTTTCCTGGTTTCTACTTTGTTGATTTCAGCCCTCAATTTGATTATTTCCTGGCGTCTACTCCTCCTGGGGGAGTGTGCTTCTTTGTGTTCTAGAGCTTTTAGCTGTGATGTTAATTCTCTGGTATAACTGTTTCCTGTTTCTTCATGTGAGCACTTAGTGCTATAAACTTCCCCCGTAGCACTGCTTTCAAAGTGTCCCATAGGTTTGGGTATGTTGTGTCTTCATTCTCATTGAATTCGAGGAAGTCTTTAATTTCTTTTTTTATTTCCTCTTTGACCCAGGGATGGTGCAGTTGAGCATTATTCAGTTTCCATGAGTTTGTAGGTTTTCTGCAATTTGTGTTGTTGTTGAATTCTAATTTTAAGGCATGGTGGTCTGATAAGATGCATGGAGTTATTCCAATTTTTTTGTAGCTGCTGAGGTTTGATATGTTGCCAAGTATGTGGTCGATTTTTGAGAAGGTTCCATGTGGTGGTGAGAAGAAGGTATATTCTTTTTTATGTGGATGAAATGTTCTATAGATATCTGTTAATCCCAGTTGGGTCATTACTTCTATTAGACCCTTTGCTTCTTTGTTGAGTTTCTGTCTGGTATTCTTGTCTAGTGGTGAGAGTGGTGTGTTGAAATCTCCCACTATAACTGTGTGGGGCTTTAGATGAGATTTAAGTTCTAATAATGTTTCTTTAACGAATGTGGATGCCTTTGTATTGGGGGCATAGATGTTCAGGATAGACACTTCATCTTGGTGGGTTTCACCTGTGATGAGTATGTAATGACCTCCTTCATCTCTTTTGATTGATTTTATTTTAAAGTCTAGTTTGTTAGATATTAGGATTGCTACCCCTGCTTGTTTCTTGGGTCCATTTGATTGAAAATTTTTTTCCCAACCTTTAACTCTCAAGTAATGTCTGTCTTTGAGGGTGAGGTGTGTTTCTTGTATGCAGCAGAAGGAAGGGTTCTGTCTTCGAATCCATTCTGCTAGTCTGTGTCTTTTTATGGGTGAGTTAAGGCCGTTAATATTGAGGGATATTAATGACCATTGATTGCTCATCCTTCTTCGATTTGCGATGGTTGTTGTTGGTGGAATTATGGGTGGAATTTCACCCCTTTGTTCTTTTGGCTGTTGGTAGAGAGGGATTCTCTAATGCTTATGTTTTTCTGGTTGTAGTTAGCTTCCTTGGGTTGGAGTTTTCCTTCCAAAATTTTCTGTAGGGCTGGGTTAGTGGACACATATTGGTTGAATCTAGTTTTGTCGTGGAATATCTTGTTTTCTCCGTCTATAGTGATTGAGAGCTTTGCCGGGTATAGTAGTCTGGGCTGGCATCCATGGTCTCTTAGTGTAGGTAGAATATCTATCCAGGACCTTCTGGCTTTCAGAGTTTCCATGGAGAAATCAGGTGTAATTCTGATAGGTCTGCCTTTATATGTTACTTGACCTTTTTCCTTAGCTGCTCTTAATATTCTTTCTTTATTCTGTATGTTTGGGGTCTTGATTATTATGTGGCGAGGGGATTTTTTTGTGGTCCACTCTATTTGGTGTTCTGTAGGCTTCTTGTACCTTCATTGGCATGTCTTTCTTAAGGTTGGGAAAGTTTTCTTCTATGATTTTGTTGAATATGCCTTCTGCCCCTTTGAGGTGGATTTCTTCTCCTTCTTCTATACCTATTATTCTTAGGTTTGGTCTTTTCATGGTGTCCCATAATTCCTGGATGTTTTGTGTTAAGGATTTGTTGGATTTAAGGTTTTCTTTGGTTGATAAATCCATTTCTCCTAATGTATCTTCAACACTTGAGATTCTCTCTTCCATCTCTTCTATTCTGTTGGTAATGCTTGTATTGGTAGTGCCTGACTGTTTGTCCAGCTTTTCTATTTTCTGCCTTTCTTCAGATTGTGTTTTTTTTAGTGTCTCTATTTCAGTTTTCAACCCTTGCAGCGTTTGCATTGCTTCTTGCAATTTTCTGTTTATCTGTCCGTCCATTTGTTGCCTTTTATGAATTTTTTGGTTTGTTCTTTCTTCCATTTCTTGCATTTTTTGGTTTGCTTTTTGTTCCATTTCTTGGATTTTGTGCTTTGTTTCTTCTTCCATTTCCTGCATTTTTTGGTTTGTTTCTTCTTCCATTTTTTTCATTTTTTGCTTTGTTTTTTCTACCATTTCTTGCATTTTTTGCTTTGTTTCTTCTTCCATTTCCTGCCTTTTTTGGTATGTTTCTTCTTCTAATTCTTGCATTTTTTGCTTTGCTTTTTCTTCCATTTCTTGCATTTTTTGCTTCATTTCTTCTTCCATTTCGTGCCTTTTTTGGTTTGTTTTTTCTTCCAATTCTTGCATTTTTTGGTTTGTTTTTTCTTCCATTTCTTGCATTTTTTGGTTTGTTTTTTCTTCCATTTCCTGCCTTTTT